GGGCCCAGCCTGGCTGTGGGCAGGAGGGGAGGGGGGTGACCAGCCCTGGGGTCGTGGTTGTCCCCAGCCTGCCCCTGGCTCCTGCTGCAGTCCCACAGCCTGTGGGAGCTCTCTGCAGTGAGAGCTCTCTGCCCCACGCTGGCTGTCCAGGACCTCACCCCTACATCCCATCACTTCCCCTTCTATCCTGCAGGAGGGCATCCTCAGCAACCCCATCGAGGGGGACATCGGCGCCGTCTTCGGCCTGGGCTTCCCGCCCTGCCTGGGAGGTGAGTGCCATGGGCTTGGCTCCAGAATCATAGAATCATAGAATCAGCTGGGTTGGAAGGGACCTCCGAGATCATCAAGTCCAACCCTTGATCCAACCCCGCTGCGGTTACTAGGCCATGGCACTGATGCCACATCCAGTCTCTTTTTAAAAATCTCCAGGGATGGAGAATCCACCACTTCCCTGGGCAGCCCATTCCAATGTCTGACCACCCTCTCTGTAAAGATGTTGGACATCTTCTGATGTCCAACCTAACCCTCCCCTGGCACAGCTGAAGACCCAGCCCTCTTGTCTTGCTGAGAGTTGCCTGGAAAAAGAGACCAACCCCCACCTGGCTACACCCTCCTATCAGGGAGTTACAGAGAGTGAGGAGGTCTCCCCTGAGCCTCCTCTTCTCCAGGCTGAACAGCCCCAGCTCCCTCAGCCTCTCCTCATAGGACTTGTGCTTGAGTCCCTTCCCCAGCCTTGTTGCTCTTCCCTGGACCTGCTCCAGCCCCTCCATGTCCTTCCTGAGCTGAGGGGCCCAGAACTGGACACAGCACTCCAGGGGTGGCCTCATCAGTGCTGAGTCCAGGGGAAGAATCACTTCCTTGGACCTGCTTCACCCTGGGCTGTGGCCGTGTGGCAGGGCAGGAGTTAAGGCCAGGTTTGAGCTGCAGCCTTAAGGAAACAGCCTCAAGTTGCAGCAGGAGAGGTTTAGGTTGGATATTAGGGGAAACGTCTTCCTGGAAATTGTTATCCAGCCCTCGAACGAACGGGTTGCCCAGGGCAGGGGTGGAGTCCCCGTCCCTGCAGGGATTTAAAAGCCTCATGGATGTGGCACTTGGGGACATGGGTCAGGGGTGGCCTTGGCAGTGCTGGGGGATGGTTGGACTCAATGCCTTAGAGGGCTTTTCCGACCTAAATAATTCTTTGACTCTTGTCTCCTGCCACTGCCACTTGCCTGGGTGGGCAGGGGTTGTGTTGGAGCCCAAGGACCCACCTTTGCCTGCTGCCCTCACTGATAACAGCAGAGCTGGTAACCTCAGCCGTGCTTTTCCAGCCAAGGGACTTGCTGGGCCCAGCAAGGACCACGGACCAAGTTCCCTGGGACCCAGCTGTGACCTGGCTGGGTGGCCATGGCTGTGGCCTGGGCCGTGGGTGAGGCACGAGCTGGGGGTTGGGTCACAGCTGGAGGCCACCACGGGCTCTTGGGCACGAGGTGGTGCTTCTGCCACAGGCCTGGTGCTTTCCCTCCTTGAGCCAAGCTCAGGCTGTGGGAGCAGCCCCAAGGGACTTCCTACGAGAGCATGGGGTGGCAGGACAAGGGGGAATGGGTTCAGACTTTCAGAGGGCAGGGTTAGATGGGATATTGGGAAGGAATTCTTGGCTGGGAGGGTGGGGAGGCCCTGGCCCAGTTGCCCAGAGAAGCTGTGGCTGCCCCTGGATCCCTGGAAGTGTCCAAGGCCAGGTTGGACAGGCTTAGTGGAAGGTGTCCCTGGCCATGGCAAGGGGTTGGAATGAGAGGAGCTCTAAGGTCCCTTTCCAGAACCATCCCACGATTCTGTGATTATCCACGTCCCAGCTTGCGGGGTCAGCCTCTGCCCAGTGCCAGTGGGCAGCGAGCAGGGCCCTGGGTTACCCTGACAAGAGACTTGGGGGTCTGTCACCCCCTTGGTGCCCGTCCCTCCCATGCCAGCGCCGTGTCCCTGTGCCCGCAGGTCCCTTCAGGTTTGCCGACTCCTATGGAGCCTGGCAGCTGGTGGACAAGCTGCACAAGTACGAGGCCGTCTATGGCAGCCAGTTCACGCCGTGCCAGCTGCTGCTGGACCACGCCAACAGCCCCAGCAAGAAATTCCACCAGTGAGGGACCCGGTGACGCGCCCACAGCTCCCCGGGGCCGCCCCAGCGCTCCCGACACCCCATTGTCCATAGGTTAATCTCCAAAGCCCCGGGGGAGGAAGGGGAGGAGGGAGGGGGGCACCAGGCTGCCTCATGGCTTGTAGTCATTTCAAGTGCCTTATCAGCCACTGTGTGTTGGGCACCTCCGTCCCGTGCCAGCCTGGGCCAGCCTCTCCGTGCTGGAGAGGGGATTTCTGCTGCCTTCGCCTCCACGCTGCGGCCTCCAGAGCTCCCAGTCTGGCCAGTAGCATCCAGCACGTGGCTGGAGCCGAGGCCTTGCCTTTCCATAGACATCTACCAAAATAAAGCCCCGTCTCCTGGGTTTGGACTCCATGCCTGGTTCTCCTCCCGTCTCCCTGGGCAGCACCGAGGGAGAAGAGTCGGGAATAAAAGCATCCAGGCACTGCCCTGGGTTCCCCTCCCATGGAGGGGCTGCAGGGCTCACAGAGGGGCTGTCGGAGGGGCTGGTTGGCAGCAGAGCAGGGTGGCAGCTCTGTCACCTCTGCCATCACTTGGGGGCTGTGAGGAGCCTCTGGCTCCGTCTGGCCCCGAGTGCTGCCGCGGGCGATCCCGGCAGATGGACCCGCCTGTAATTGCAGATCAAGCAGCCAAAGGCCAGAAGGGTCCCCCGTGGGGAGAGCTCAAGTTAAACTAAAAGGTTTTAAATCTCTGGGCACCTGTCACTGGCCCACCCCCCCCCTTCCATCCCTGGCTTCCTTTCCAGCTTCCAGCCGTTCTCCTGCGCCGGGGCAGGGCTGGGCCCCGGAGATGCTGCTCTGTCGCCTCTCTGCTTGTTTCTCAAAGCCCCGGGGACAAAACAGCTCCACGAGTAACACCTTCCCTTGAAAGGGGCACGAGTCCCTTCCCAGGTGGGAAGGGTCTGCAAGGATGGGAGAGACCCCCAGAGCCTCCCTCCCCACCTGTGCCCCCTTTCCCTCTTCCCCGAGCAAGGGCCTTCTCCGGCAGCTCGTTACTCCGTACATTTATTGTGCTAATCCACAAGGATTAAGTTAAACCAGTCAACGCAAAATCCAGTGTTTTCCAGCCCGTTGGGGCCAAAATTACTGTCCAGTGTTAAAATGGGAAGGGGGGAGGGCTGGGCAATGGGGCCGAGCTGCCGGGGGGAGGAGAACCCCCGGGACGGGAACGGGGCGAGGTCCAGGCGCCTCGGGGACCTCCCGGGGCAGGGGGTCCCCAGCGCGGGGTTAGATCTTGGGGCGCCAGCCCTTGATGAACTGCATGATCTTCTTCACCTGGAGCTTGGTGAGGCGGAAGTCGTCGGCCAGGATCTCCTCGCTGAGCTGCACGAAGATGCTGCCGTCGATGCGCTCGCGGGCGAAGAAGCTCACGACGTCCTCGGAGAGGCCGATGAAGCGCAGGCACTTGGACACCTCCTCCAGCGACAGGGCCGACAGGTCGGCGGGGGGCAGCCAGACCGGGCCGTCCCCGCCGGGCCGGGGGGCGGCCGCCGAGGCCCCCCCGTCCCCCCGCGCCGCCGGCGGCACCTCGATGACCCCCTGGGCCAGGTACAGGCGGGCCACGCCCTCGGCCCCGCGCAGGACGGCGGGGGACAGCGGGGACGCGCCCCGGATGACGATGCCGTCCCCGTCCAAACCCTTGGGGGGCCGGGGAGGGGCCGCCGGCTCCTCGAGGGGGGCGAAGGGCTCCGGCGAGGAGGAGGAGGGGGGGGCGGCCGGGGCCGAAGGTGCTTTGGACCACTCGGGGCTCTCCGGCCACTCGGCCGGGCCGGCGAAGGGGTTGAGGGCCCCGAAGGGGGCAAAGCGCTTTTGGGGGTGCGGGGGCTTGAGGCGGGGGCAGCTGCGGAAGGGCTTCAGGGGCGGGTCGGCCCCCGGCAGCGGCGTCGAGCAGGCGCTGCCCGCCCCGGCGCCCGGCTCGGCGTATGCCCAGGGCTCGGACCAGGAGCCGGGCGGCGGCTGGGCCGCGGCGGGGGGCAGCGGGCGCCCGGGGGGCTCCCCGGCCTTGCAGTCGCCCCAGGTGCAGGGGTAGCAGTACAGGGAGTAGGCGTCGGGCGAGGGTGAACCGCTGCCGCTCCGCGGGGCCGACCTGCCGGGGAAGGGGAGCGTCACCGTCGCCCCGTCCCCACCGGGGACCCCCCACCCCCGCCCCGGCACCGCCACGTCCCCGGAGCCACTCACCCGTCGTGGAGCCCCGAGGAGTAGTAGGAGAGGCTGGGGCTGGGCGAGGCCGCGGGCGCTGCCAGCTTCGGGCAGCGCAGCGGGGCCGGGGGGCTGCAGGGGCCCGGGGCGCGGGTGCCCCGGGGCGGCACGGGGGGCGCGTTCAGCAGCCGGCACTCCTCCTTCACCTGCAAACGGGGGCGAGCGCCGTCAGACCCCCGGGCACCGCGGCTGCAGGGTGATGGGGGGGCTCGGGGGCAGCCGGCCCTGGTGGAGCCGTGAAGCTCTGGGTGCCAGCGGGGAGGTCTGGGACCCGTGCGCTGCCCGGCGAGGGAAGCCCCCAGAAATGTGGGTACTCCGTGGTGAAGGGGAGCCTGAAATTTTGGGTACTGTGTTGTGCAGGGAAGACCAGAGGATTCGGGTGCCCCGCGGTGCTGGGAAGCCCAAGAGCTTCAGGTCCCCCCATGGTGCAGAGCCCTGGGGAGCGGGGACCCCGTGGCACAAGGGTGTCCCTGAGGATTCGGGTGCCCCGTGGCGATGGGGAGCCCTGGGGAGCCCGGGACCGAAGAGGATTTGGGTGACCAAGCAGAGCTGGGGAGGGACCCCCAGACCAGGGGACAGGGCTCGGAGCCCAGAGCCCGGGCAGGGGGTCGGGCTGGCCCTGCCGTGGGACTGTGGTTGTGCCGTGGGGGTCCCCGAGCCGTGAGCTGGGGGCTGGCCGAGGGACCCCCAGGGCTGTCATTCCCCACCCCTGGGGACAGGGCCGCGGCTCTTACCGCCTCCGATTTGGGTGGCACCGGGGGCGGGGTGTCCCCGCGGGGCTCGTCCCCGGGGCGGTGCGCGGAGCCCAGCGCGGGGACGGCCCCGAAGGACACCAGGTCCGGCCGGCCGCCGGTGCCGCCCAGCTCGCAGCAACCCTCCGGGCCGGGATTGCTCCAGAGCTCCTCGTAGGGGATCTCCAGCGGCTCCTGAGTCCTGAACTCGGGCTCGGCCCAGTCGGGCGTCATGTACTCGCGGTCGGGGTCGGGGAAGTCGGGCAGCGGCGGGCGGGGGGCGGCCCCGCCGAGGCCCCGCGGTCCGTGGCAGCGGGCGAGGGGCTCCCGGGGGGGCTCCCGGGAGCCGCAGGCACAGAGGGAGAGGCGCTGGAGGGGCTGGCTGAGCTCGTCGCGGGCGCAGGCGGGCAGGCAGAGCCGCAGGCGCCGCGGGCTGGCACATTCCTCCAGCAAGTCCGGCTTGGCCTCCCGCACGGCCCGCGAGTACTCGTCGGGGTTGAAGCGGTCCTGGCAATACGCGGCGCTGTCCCGCAGCAGCTTCTCCAGCTGCGGGTCCCCGGCCAGCAGCCCCTCGGGCAGCTGGAAGCGGGGCATGTCGGTCAGCAGCAGGAAGTGGAAGGGCACCAGCTCGTCGCGGCGCAGGATGCAGCACAGCACCACCGTCTTGGAGATGATGCTGACCAGCTTGTAGCAGTGCCCCTCGCGGATGGCGTGCAGGTCGTAGGGGTTGCGGGCGGGCCGGCTCGGCACGGCCACGTTCACGGGCAGCCGCACCTTCTCGATGATGCTGCGGATGGTGTGCTCGCCCTCCTGCAGCCGCAGCTCCAGCGGGCTGCGCGTGCTGAAGCGGCCCTTGCACTGGAAGGGCAGGCTCAGGCTCTCGTTGGTGCGGTGGTTCATGCAGATCAGACACGGCATCTTGCCCTTCACCTGCCGCGCCCCCGCCGCCGGCGCCGCCTTGCCCAGCTTGCGCAGGAGGGTGTTGAAGCGCGACTTCTCCTTCACGGTCTTGGCGCAGAGGATCTCCGCCTGCCCCATCAGCGTCAGCTCGTCCCCCGCGTTCAGCGTGAAGTTGTAAACCTCGCTGTCCTCGCTGAACTCCCCCGACACCACCTGCCCGGGGCAGCCCGACGTGAGAGAGACTCCTGCTCTGCCAGGGCCCCCGGCATCCCACCACCACCCCTGATGTCCCACCACCACCCCTGATGTCCCACCACTACCCTGTAATGTCCCACCACCATCCCTGGCATCCCACCACTACCCTGTAATGTCCCACCACCATCCTTGATGTCCCACCACTATCCTGTAATGTCCCACCACCACCCCTGACGTCCCACCACTATCGTGTAATGTCCCACTACTATCCTGTAATGTCCCACCACCATCCCTGACATCCCACCACCATGCTGTAATGTCCCACCACCATCCCTGTTGTCCTGCAACCTACCCCTGACATCCCACAATTACCCTGTAATGTACCCTGCTGTCCTATTGTTCTCTCCTGACACCCCATCAGTGACCCACAGAGTCCCACCACACCCCCTGACATCCCACCACCATCCCCTGACGTCCCACCATCCTCTCTTGATGTTCCACCACTGAGCTCTTCTTTCCCCCACACTCCTCTTATTTCCACCAGCCTGCCCTGATGTCCCACCACTGCCCCCACTGTCCCACAACCTACTCCTGATGTCCCACTGCCACCTCTTGATGTCCCACCACAAGCTCGTCATGACCCACCACCACTCCCTGCCGTCCCACTGTTCTCTCCTGACAACCCACCAGTGACACACAAAGTCCCACCACGTGCCCTGACATCCCACCACCATTCCCTGCTGTCCCACCGTCCTCTCCTGATGTCCCACCATCCTCTCCTGATGTCCCACTATCATCTCCTGATGTCCCACCACCGACCCCTGCTGCCTCACCCCCCCTCCCGACATTCCCCTCCCCTCCCGACTGTCCCCAGTGTCCCCTGAGTTCCCACCACCAGTCCCTGCTGTCCCTGCAGTGTCCCCTGCTCTCCCTGCAGTGTCCCCTGCTGCCCCTGCAGTGTCCCCTGCTGCCCCTGCAGTGTGCCCTGCTGCCCCAGCCCTGTGCCCCGCTGTCCCCACAGACCTTGACGCTGAAGGTGATGGCCTCCATGACGAAGATGCGGTCTGGGAAGGTGCTGGCCACCTCCTCCACGCTGTTGAAGTACTGCACGGGCTCACGGATGTCCCGGTCCTGGTCCAGCAGCTTGAACTTCCCTGCGGGGGACCCCCAATCCCACGGAGGTGAGAGGAGCCCGGCTCCAGCACTTGTCCTGGGGACCTGCAGTCACCCCCCTCGGGCCAGCACAGCCCCTCTCGGGGGGGCAGCCACCCCCGAGGACGGCCTGGGGTCCCCACCACACATCTGGGGACATTTCCATGGGCTTCACCGG